TAAGTGAACGCAAGAATTATCCTGCTGTTCTCTGATAATAAAAGCCCAGCAAAGGAAATAGAATGATAATTTCTCTTGAATGTTCTGGGAGATAGTCAAGGTTGAGTGAGGTTCTCTTCTCACATCTATTGAAGGTTGGATATGGATCCCTCTGCTCTGCTTTGTTCTGACTTATCCAGAGTAATCTGCACTTTTCCTTCCCACAGGCTTTCATGTTCTGGGTAGTAGACAATTTCCTCATGAGAAAGGGGAAGACGAAAGCTAAACTAGAAGAAAGAGGAGCCAACCAGGACTCAAGGAATGGGAGCAAGGTTCGCTACCGAAGGGCGGCGTCCCACGAGGAGTCCGAGTCTGAGGTAGAAGCCTGCTTGACCCTCCCCAAGGGCCTAGCCATAGTATGTTGGGCTCTGAGGATCTCAGTTCTCACGTGTGCATCTCGTCTCCTGAATGCTGATTCACAGTACTAGTCAGAGGGAAGGAAAAAGCTGAGTTGAAGAGTAGCCCAGGTCACTCAGAGCCTCATCCAGCCAGAACCCAATGCTGTCACATGATGCCGCATGTAGTCATGTGACTGGTTACAGATAGCCCCTGTGGACTAGCAGTGGAGACAGCCAGGTAAGGTGAAATGCACCTTATTCCAGGGAAGCATGGAGATACCTGGAGTCCTGCCCTCCACTAACAAGTGTTGGCTGCAGGCTTCTAAAATATAGGACTAGCTACACCTCACAGAGATAAACCTCATCTTCCTTTATCTGCTGGGGTCTAAATTCAAGAGCTGATATAAAGAAGCAGTAGGTGTGGATACAGCCCCGGGCAGGGGTGTGTGTTCTAGCTGGTCTATAGCATTCATTTTACCTTTGTGCCTCAGCATGTTGCAGCTGGGTTGGCCTGAGGAAACTCCCATAGTGCCAAGCACTGTGCTGCCAATGGGAGTGACAGAAGTGGCTGAGATTAGCCAAGCTTGGTGGTATATGGCTTTAATCCTGCACTTGGAAAGTAGAGACACTCAGATTTCTGTAAGTTTGAGGTCAGCCTGGTCTACATAGCAAGTTCCAGACCAGTAAGGGTTCTATAGTGAGATCCTATCCCAAAAAAAGGAAGGGAGGCAGGGATTGCTGCTGCAGTAAGACTTGAGGATGAGGAAAAGAAGATGCACAAATAGCTCATCATCACACTTGGAGTGTGTCCTGTAACTAAGGTATAAGCAACGCCCCTGAAGAACCCTGGGCAATCTGGAAGGAGTTTTAGAAGATGAATAGATTAGAGGGCAAGTTTACATTTTCTCCAAGTTTGTGTTCATAGAATCTGGTTACAGGGAGACATTTGATGAATGACAAATATCCATAAAGCAGAAACTACAGCTCATGGGCATTCACAACCGCATGGTTTGGCCTCTGATAATAAAGTGAAATTCACATTGGCCATAGGAGGGAGCAGTCGATCAAGTGATTCAGTCTACAGGAAGGGTGGTGAGGCTGTTTGCCCCACTCCTGGAGTGGGAGTTCACATTCCCCTGCCCTTAAACCTTCTTGTGGGCTGTTGTGATCTTCCCATGGTTCTTAGAGGTGAAGCCAGCAGCTATGACAGGGAATAAGCAAATTTGTCCTCAGTGTCTCAGCTGCATGGATGAGTAAAGCAAGTCTCCCTCTTCATCTTCAGAAGTGACAGAGTTAGCTCAGGACATCATGTTTGGAACTGTATGCCTCGTGTGGTCCCTGGGATAATTTCACTCCCTTTTGAAAGAGACTGTATTTAAGGCAGATCCAGGACCCTTAGCTTCCGAGCACCCAGTTGGCTCTGATAGGATTTGGGTCTGGCTGGAAGTTGGGTAAAGGCATGGGGAGGGGAGCATTGGTACATTGGCAGGTGAGGGGTGTTGACTTTAATGTTAGGTTCAGCGGGCTAGCACATCTCACTGGAAGGGGCACTCCCCACAACCCTCTTGTAAGGACTCGGGAGACTTGAGGCCTCCCAGAAGGGCTGGCCTCCAAGGAAGGCAAGCACAGAAGGTACTGGCGCTGGCATCTTAGTCCTTGCCTCTTCACCACCTCAGATCCTGATCTCAGCTGACGACGAGATGGAAGAGTCTGATGCCGAGGAGGACCTCCGCAGACTGACCCCCCACAAGCCTGTGAAGAAGAAGAAGCACCGCTTTGGGCTGCCTGTATGACACATTCCCACACTGCAGATGACAGTCATGGAACCTAGCCCTCCAGCAGCATCCCTTCCCTCTTCTCTCTACCCTCCTCTTCTACCTCCACTCCTCTTGCTGTCTCTGCCCGCTCTCCACCTGCCCCCAGACTACTGTGACTCAAAAGAGGGAAGAGGACCTGTGCCTGAGGGGGCTGTGGGCAGCTGGAGGTCCCGCTCAGTTGCACTACAAACACTGACCAAATATGCAAGCGAAGAGCTTTGTTTGTTTGTTGTCGTCCCTTTGGGGTGTTGTGACACCCCTGTCCTATGTCTGACCAGGTGGCATGGTGGAAGAAAACAGAGCACACATAGACTGTTGCAGGGCCTCATGCTGAGGCCGGGGCCTTGTGGACATGTGACGTGCTTGGGGTTAACAGCCACTGATTGACCCAAGTTGGAAGAGGAATGCTTTCTTACTCAAAGTGGCTTTTGTAACTCTTTATTTCTAAAGCCAGTTTTATGAGCTGTGACAGTGTTACTGTTTTTTGAGTATGTGTTTATTTCCTACAAAGTATCTATGGGTCTAATGGGCAAACAGATTTTTAAGTCTTCCGTATACTGTTTGACTTTTATATTTTTAAGTTATATTTTCATACTACTGTATTTAAAACTCTTTTTAATCCCCAAAGAAATGGATTTGTTTGCCTTTCATGGGGTATGAGCTGGTGGGAGGTGAGTAAGGTCAGGAATTTTTTTAGCCGGGAATATTGTTAGGTAGCATCTAGTGATGAGGTAAAGCATCCTGGTGGGAAGGGTAGATATCCTTTATCTGTGGCCAGAAATCCAATGTGTTAAGGTCAGCTCTGGGCAGGAGGCAGCTGTGCCGAATGGATCTGTATGCTCCGGCGTGTGGGACCAGAGCCCTGCCAGGACATATGAGCTGGCATGTCAGAGGCTTTGATTAAAGTTGATTGAGGAAGGAGCTTAAGAGTTAGGCATTTGTGTCCAGAGGACGCAAGCCACCAGGCTACTCCTGTTGGTTTCCTGCCACTCTCAGAGTCTCCAAATTACAAATGTTAGAATGGTCCAAGCCTCTGCTTCCAGTACAGCAGCTTGCAGAGCCAACCTTTGCCTTGGTGCCTGTCACCTGCTTGCTTGCTCAGCTGTCTGGGGAACTCTGCCTGGCCAGAAAAGCCTGTTGTCATGTCTTCCAAAGTTGTGACGTGGCAGGAGCAGAGCAGATACCAGTGAGAACTAGTTCTCGCTGTATAGATAGTATGAGGTATTTCTAGACTATGGTTCCTCATTGGTGGTTACACCCACTTCTCACCCTGGCCCTGCTTTACTTGGTGATACAGGCTAACCCAGCACTGTACCTGCTATAGAAGTAGCAGGGTGGAGTTGTCTGATGGCTTGTCAGTCCAACAAGCAGGCACAGTGGTAAGGAGCACAAGAACACCCCACTACTTCATGGGCTTAGGCCTTAGGTGAGGTGAGCACAGAGGAGGCGACTCTCCTCATATCCTTCTTCTAAACCTACGTAAGAATGTGTTTTGCTTAAGCATCTGGGATCTAAATATGCTTGTGGCATATGACCCAGCCTTTATCCAGGGTGCCTGGGGCTGTCCTCTGCCCCTTGAAGTCTTACTTGTCCTAGACAGAGGGTATACTCTGGGGTGTCTCTCGGTTCATCTTCTAGTGCAAGCACCACTGAGAAGAGAGAGATTGCTGCTGGAGACCAGCAACCTGCAAAATGGATTGGTCAGACCCTGCGTCGTTCCTGTTTTCTTTCTATGGTCATTCCCTTTCCCTTCTCTAGTGAGGTTGCACTGAGTGTTGTGGGAAGAGTACAACTCCAACTCCTGACGAGATGGTCAGTCCTGGTGACATTGCTGATGTCACCCTCACGTCCCCTCCTGTTTCACTGTGCTAGAGATAGCCTGTGCTGCACCCACCCCTGCCATCCTTCTGGAGCTGAGAGTTGGAACCTCACTTCAGACTTGAGCTCCTAGAGTTTCCAAACCAGACACAGAGGTGGGGGAACCACTGTGAAGGATGGAAACTCCAGTAGCACAGTCCTCACAGAGGTAATCTCTAAGGCTCTCCCTGCTCCCAAGCACAGGGCCTGAGGGACAGGGGAAGTGAGTGAGTGTGGGTTCCTTCTGCATCCTGATTTTCACTAAGGGCTATAGTCTCTGAGCTGCTCTGTGAAGCTGGCTCAGCAGAGAAGGAGGTCCAACAGCTGTCTGATACTGGAACCTGTCTGTGCAGGCTTGGTGCGTGTTTGCCCTGCCCCTCTTCCTGTGCATATGTGTGCACGCACACATACAGCATAAGCACACACACTCACACAATACTGCATCTCTCAGGAGAGCCTCCCGCAGCTGCTAAGGCATTTCTATTACTGTGGTGCGCTGCCTCACTAGAGTGGATGTAGAGGGCTCTGGTCGGGGCGTCTTCCTGAACTGTCCTCCTCCCTGGAATGAGTGTCCCCATCACTTATTCCACGATGCCTTATGAGGTGGGACCCTTTACTGGCTGATGGCAGACATCACCAAGATAGGGAGGAAAAAAAAGAAGGCTGACTTAGCTGTGGTGTTCTGTTGATCTGATTTGTCCAAATCAGTACTTGGCCAAGCTGCTCTTGGGGGAAGCTTGCAAGCCAGGGCAATGAATGAGTCTTTTGTAACTAACAGAAATAAACCAATGAGAGAGAGCTGACACCTAACTCAAAGAAATGGTGGTTATTTTTTGTTTTTAACTTCATTTGGCTGTTGGTGGGGCTTTCATAAAGGCAAGGATGAATGCTGAGATCCAATGTGGCAGTGACTTCTCAGTCTATGCACCAGAGGATGTCTGTGGCCCCTCAGCCCTGGAACGTGTGGGTAGCTTCCAGCCTCAGTCTTTAAACCGTGAACGTCCTAGCAACAAGGAGCTATGTGTTCACCTCACTTATCGTGCTTCTTTCCTCAGGGAAAACAAAAAAAAAAAAAAAGGCTCAAATTCAAGTTGTAACTTCCCTTTGGCAGTGCAGGCTACAGCTCAGGGCCCACATCTAAAAGGCGCCTCAGGACCCTGGAAGGGGCAGGCACAGACTGTCCCTCCTGCCATGCCAGGCAGCAGCCACCTTGTAGGATGTGAGCTAGCTCCTAAGTCAGTGGTTCTAAACCTTCCTAATTCTGCGACCCTTTAATACAGTTCCTCATGTTGTGGTGACCCCCAAACGTAAAGTTATTTTTGTTGCCATTTCATAACTGTAATTTTGCTACTGTTATGAATCATAATATAGATATGTTTTCAGATGGTCTTAGGTGACCCCTGGGAAAGGGTCATTTGACCCCCAGGTCAAGAACCCCTGTCTTAAATGAAGTTTCACACAGCTTCCAGTGAGAGACCTGTTTGCAGTGAAGGACCTGTGGTCAGCCTTGCTTTAAACACCCTGAGTTCTGAGTGGGTGAGTGGATTGGTTGGTTGGCTGCCTGGTTTGGTTTTTAATTTTTCTTTCCATAGAATTTATTAGAAGTCAGACCTGTGTGAAGAAAACCATTTCCACTTCAGCTGCCTATCCAGAGAGTGGGGTGTTTAATCTGTGGCACTATGAGTCACAGAAACACGCTTTTTAGATAAAAGGGAAGATGGTGTACTTATATTGTAAACTGGTTTACAATAAAGTTTCACATCTTATTACATTAAAAAAAGAAGAAAGAAACCATTACTTTTGTGGTTGTTGGTTGTGTCCTCTGGAACTGAAATAGCTCAGGGGGCTAGTAAACCTTCTGATACCTTTGGCAGCTATGGAGCCAAATCTGCAAGAAAGGAAACCAAATGTAATCTAACCATCTTCCTTGCTGATGGGAGCCTAAGCCAGTTTACCTGCTGGAGGGAGAGGTGAACATCCCATAACATCCAGTACCCTTGTCCTTGAGGCCAGAACTAGACAGAGCTAGCTGTGGGCACTCCTCACAAGGCACAGTCTGCCTGGCCTCTCTTTGGAATTGGAGGTACAGCAGCCATGCAGTGACATTTAGGATAGCTGTGTGTTAGTGCCTGGTTGGATTTCATCTGCCTGGAGCCTTCGGGGTAAGAATAATGTCCCTTGTAGACTGAGGGAGCTGAGATGGGTCTAACAGAGACTGACCTCTGACCCACATCTACCACTGCCCACCGCAGGCTTAGGGTCTCTGCTTGTTCCTGACGTGATCTTTCTTACCATGTCAAGATGAGGCTATTAGGAATGTTAAAGGACTTTCCGAAGGAAAGCCAAGTGTACTTTGCCCCCTCCCCTAAAGTAGCAGTGCTTCAGCTGTCCAGTTCCCATCTTTTTAGGCAGCAGCCCTCTCTAGACCTTCACAGCAAGCATGGTCTCCTGGGCCCATACCCTGCCTTGCTTTGTCCCTTTACTGAACTTGTCCCAGGTCTGGTAGGGTAGAGGACCAGGGCATCAGAAAGTGCGACACAGCAGCTCCCAGGATCTCCTTGGCCTCAGTGTCTCCACTGTGAACAGAGGTGGCTACTCACTGAGAACCAGTTATGCTCACCCTGAGGAAACACTTCCAAGCAGCAGACAGGAAGTTTCTGCCCTGCCAGTGTGCTGAGATGGAAAAGCTATTTCTACTGGAATCCAGGGGCAGAAGAGAAAGGCAAACAAGCTCGGAGCATCCGCCCTGGTTCAGAGATTTCCCCACCCACCCCTGCCGCTGGAATGGGTTCTTGCAGTCTGCCTGCCCAGACCGTCACTCACACATTGCAGGGTTCACATTCATAAATACACTCTGGACACAGTGCCAGCACCTCCCACCTGCAAGTGAACAGCTGTTCCCAAAAGCAGGGGGTACCCCCGGCTGTCTTTCACCAGGGTTGCTGCCCATCATCTCCAAGAATAAACGCCAGCTAGTGGCTGTGTGGATCTGAATCATCTGGAAGCTTCCAAAGGAGGGGAGTGACTGCCTAGGACAGACAAGCAGGCTATATAAGTTCCTGAGGGTTGGGCTTCACACAGATCTCTTCCTGTGGCTACTGCCTGACAGAGTTACCTACAGAGAGAGAACTTGCTGGGCATCTACCATGTCCGAGGTAAGAAGGCCCAATGGGGGCCAGCTGGTGCCAAGGGAGTTGGGAGAGGCAAGGCTGGACACTAACTAGTGATGTCTGCTTTGACCTAAAAGCCAAGCCCAACAGGCGGCACTACAGCCCTGGGAGGCTGGGCTGGGAGAGGACACCTGGGGTCCCACCAGGCTCTTGTGAATAGCCTTGGTGGTCCCACGATTCGTCAGGTGTTAGGGGTGGGGAATACTTATGTAGAACTGTGTGTGCTTTTGTATGTGTATGAGGGAGCTGGCTTTGATAGCTTAATGTGTCCAGTTGTATACATTTGTAATCTGGAAGAAGGGTGGGGGAGGGTGATTGGACCTATAGGTCACAGTTCGGTGTCCTTCTATTTCCCTAGCAGGGTGTGTCTCTGGGCAGGCCCATGTTTCCCTGGCTCTCCTGGGAGCCCAGCCCAGGCGGAGTGAGGGAAACCCTGCACCTGCCTGCAGGGCTTAAAAAGGACTAAAGTATCAGCCTCACAGGCGCCTGGGGTTGAGGGGAAGGATAAGCAGAGTCCAGCTTTCCCAGCTCTACTGGGACAGCAGAACAGCATGTGTCCTTTGCTGCTTGCTCCACGGCTGTCCACCCCATCCCCTTTCCAAACACAATAATGGAAAATATCAGTGTTTTGTTTGGGGAAAGGGGGCAGTCCTTATGGGACTCTTTGCTCCCCAGTAAACAGGTCTTAGGACTCACCAGATTCCCTAGGGCTGCTCAGTCTTGAAGTCCATCCTTTCCCCTTTGCCCCTTGTACTCAGTCCTGAATTTGGCCAGACAAACAGGCTAGTATGAAGATGCAGTGGCCCCCACCCCCAGGAGCTCTCTGTCTGTGGGCCAAGGTCAGATGTCCAAGTCAGACCAAGAGGGCAGAGGACTTGCAGAGGCTGGGAGACAAGTGGGCTTTGAATTGACTGAGTTCAATGATCTGGGAAGATGGACCCCTGCCAAAGTTTGAGGGGTTCATCTCAAGACCTCAAAATGTAAGACTCTGGACTTTCCAAGGTTGGCACCCCTGAAGCCCCCATTAAGAAAAAGCGCCCCCCTGTGAAAGAAGAAGACCTGAAGGGGGCCCGAGGGAACCTGGCCAAGAACCAGGAGATTAAATCTAAGACATACCAGGTCATGCGGGACTGTGGTGAGTATACTTCAGGGCACAAGGTGGGGTTGGGGATGTAATTATCTTCCAGTGGTAGCTGAGAGGTGTTGAGGGTTTCTGGGTATAAAAAAGGGCTGCACCCAGCATGGGGAGCCTTACTGTCCTTGATGCTACTCCTAAATCTTTTGCCTACAGAGCAAGCTGGCTCAGCTGCCCCATCTGTATTCAGCCGCAATCGCACAGGTACCGAGACAGTCTTTGAGAAGCCCAAAGAGGGACCTGCCAAGAGCGTCTTTGGCTGAGAAGTGCACACTGCACCACCCCAAACACCTGGACACGGGAGCCTTTCCCACGAGCTTTTTGTTTTGTTTTGTTTTTTTAATGCTGGAAGATGCCTTTTACCCGCTGCCTCCAGAACCGTCATGACTCCCCACAAAGCCAGCCCTTCTTTACCAGCACCTTGGAAACGCCAATAAAGAGGGTGCCCATGTGGCTCCAACCTTGAGAATGTGCCAGCTGGTCAGTGGCCATGACTACTAACTGCTGAGAAAGAGGAAGTGTGGGGATATAACACATCTAGTGCCCTTTCTGGGCTCTGGGGTGTGTGGGGAATAATGTGTGTGCTTTCAGGATGGCTGAGATGTACTAGAGAGAGCCTTAGACATGACTGTGGGCCTCTCTGCTCTCTCGCCCTCCCTTCCCAAACCCTCCTCCCTCTCTCTCTCCCTCACGCCCCTTCTCTCTCCCTCCCTCCCTCCCCCCACCCCCCAGATAGGGTTTCCCTGTGTAGTCCTGGCTGTCCTGGAACTTACTTTGTAGACCAGGCTGGCCTCCAGCCCTAAGAGATCCACCTGCCTCTGCCTCCCATGTGCTGGGATTAAAGGTGTGTGCTGCCACATCCGGCTTCTGTTCTTTCTAATCCTTCGTTTCAGGGCTGGAGAGATGGCGACACAGTTAGGAATACTTGGTGTTTCTGAAGAGGACCCTTGTTCAATTCCCAGTATCCACATGGTGACCCATTTCACTCTGTCACCCCCTTCTGGCCTCTGAAATAAAAATAAATTTTAAAACTAGCCTCTGGTTTCCCATCATATGCAACAGGAGAGTTGAGTTGATGCCTATTCCATAAAGCGGGTCACAGTGACACTTCTCAGTCATAGGAGGCCTAGCTCCCTCTGCCTGCCACAGAAGCCACCGAGATGTTTCCAAGGTCCTCAACGCTCATCCCCTTGCACCTATGTTCGACAGCTGCTTTACTGTGTGTCTCCACTTCAAAGACAAAACTAGGTATGGTTCCTCTAACCAGTAGCAGTGAGTTTCCTGAACTCCACCACCTACCATACTCTGTCCCCAGCATGTTGTCTGGGGTGTCAGAACAACAGGTTCCTAGCTATGTGTGACCTCTTCAGACCTGTGTCCTGTGTCTGCTGTGTCAGATTGAGGAGACTAAAAGCCTCCTAGCTGGGATGGCAAGACCACAGGCAGGCTAATAGTGACTCCTTCTGAGAGCAGGGCCTGGCTTGTGGACCACTGCTGCTGGGAAGCCCGTTGTGTGCCCTGGACAGATGGAGCTTTCTCAGGGCATTTTCACATCCTAGCCAGCCTGGCCTTATATAGCTCTGGCTCCAGGCTGGCCTATTCCCTGTGTCCCAGAGGAGCAGACCTTCTGTGGGGACAGAGCCTGTACTTGCTCATTGGGCCTCTTAAGAAAGTTCTTCCCAGAAGAGCTGTGTCCCCTATGTCCCCTGTATAACCCATCCCATCCAGAGCCAAGAGGGTGAGCAGGTGCACAGAAGTGGCCTCTGACCATAGCCTTGCAAGGAAAGGGAGGGTTTTAATAGAAGCAACCCTGTCCCAGGGTCACACACCACCCTGAGCTAAGCTGTGCTGTTGATAGCACACCAGCAGCTGGCCACCCTTTCATGTCCACAGACCCAGGAATGTCCTATCCAGAGCTGGCCTATCCAGCTTCACCAAGTCCCCAGTGTTTGTTCACTTTATCACTGTTTGTTACAGAAAACAGTACTTCAACTATATCAAGGACATATTGAGGAAAGCTACTAGCAGCACTTCAGTAACACTCTGGTGGTCCTGCTGTGACAAAATGAGGCCACCACTCTACCTGCACACGACTTTCAGGGACCGTGTGCAACTGGCTCTTATGTGCCCCACCTTCCTGCAGAGACTGTCCAACATCACAGCTCTGGGCTCAAGATATGCATCTTTACAACTCTTGGCTGTTGTCAAATTGCAGACCTGTCTGGGGGTCTGCTTGGCTTGAACCTAAAGTCCGGTTACAGTAATAGGACCCAAACATCAGTCTTGAACCAGATGGGCAGAGGCCCCTGGGCCCAGCATCTTTTGCTCCAAAAAGTGTCCATCCTTCGTGTCCTCAAACACCTCTAGTCCTCTTGATGTTTCTGGGACCAGGGACCCCCAGGCATGTCTACCTGGCTAGTAAGGCCCCCGTCTCTTCCAGGAAGCCACCTGGGGTATCCTTCTAGTCCTAGTCTTCCTAGAGAAGCTGCTATTTCCTCCCAGGCTAGACTCATGAAGAGCAGATTGGCCTCCTTGTTAGGTGCCTCTGGAGCTACAAAGCATGGAAGATGACCTATGTGAGGTTGTGATTCCTGGAAATTTGGAGCTTGCAGAAGGGGAGCTAATACCCAGCTCCAACCTGAGCCTGCCTTTCCTCAGTGTATGTCCTGCTGTCAGCAAAGTTCACTGGACATAGGTCATTTGTCTCCTTATCTGAGGCCTCTGGGATTTTTGGCTTGAAAACCCCCATTTCCCAGAACTTGCACCAGTAGGGGCAGGACACCCAGCAAGTTACCAATTTATACCCCACCTGCTCTCAGGTTCAGAAGCAGCCTGGCAGACAACTGCAGACCAATGAAGAGCCCAGCCCCTGCCCACATGTGGAGCATTGTGCTGGTCTTGCCCTCACTGCTGGCTGTGCTTCAGACCACCACTGCCAAGAAGGTAGCAGTCCCCATAGGTGCCTCTGTGTATGCCTATGTGTGTGTGGTGTGAGCTGGGGACTGGGTAAACACATCGGGGAAGCCGGAGAGTGCCTCTGGGTGTGTGCAGGTCAGTGTGTGTGCAAAGACATGGCGCTGACTACTTACCAGGCATTACCCAGAGATCCTTACGGGTTCCTTCACTTAACAGAAGGAGTGATCCTATTCTTGCTACTTTATAGATGAAGGAAAGCTTAGTCAATTGCCCCTTGAGGGTGACAGAGACAAGTAGGTCAAAATGTGGCTGTACAAGCCCAGCTCTTCTGTTCTGGATGAGTGACTTCTGGCAATTATTTATATGTTCTGTCTGTCAGTCTCCTCATCTGAAAGAGAGTAATAATATAACCAACTCAGAGGGCTGTGCTGGTTGAAAATCAAGCCCATAATACCTAGGAAGCATTGGGAGCCACACATGGTGCAGAGCTGACATTAGACCTGTAAACCAGTCGTGCTGTCCCTCTGTGCTAAAGGGGGGGGGGAGGTGACCATGAGTATCTGAACAGTTTGTGTGTGCAGCATGGGACATGGAGCAGGTAGAGGAACATAGGGCTGTATGGGTGTTCATATCCTTTCTTAAGGAATTGCCATCCTCCAGGGCTAAGGTGTGTGTGTGTGTGTGTGTGTGTGTGTGTGTGTGTGTATATATATATATGTTGGGACAGAGAGGGTCCATTGCTGGCAAAATGGGCAAAGAAGAAGATGGTCATTCCTTAGAGACCTGGTCCTCTACAGATTCTCACAGCTCCCGTGACCAGCTAATGGGAGAGTAGCAGGAGTATTCTTCTGCTTTCATGGAGCTTAGAATTTCCAAAAATCAAAGGGCTTGTTCACTGCCCTTTTACTAGGCAAAGCTCAGCCTGGACACAAGGTCCCTGACTCCAGGCCTCTCATCTCTGTCCAAATGTGTTCCTGACAGATTTGGACTATTACCCTAACCCATGTGTGCTTGCTATTTCCCATGGTGGAGGCCTGCTCTATGGTGCTGTCTTGTGGTGAATGAGGTCTACAGCTGCCTCTAACTTCAGACAAATGTTCGCATGTGAAATATTTGACACGGTTCAGCCTGGGCAGTATCTGTGTCAGAGGATGGGTGGAGTTTGGTCTGGGACCAGGGTTAAAGCCTACTCTTGAAGCTCTCCCTCTTCCCCTTTCCTTGTCTAGAATGGCATCGATATCTACAGCCTCACAGTGGACTCCCAGGTGTCTTCCCGATTTGCCCATACTGTGGTTACCAGCCGGGTGGTCAACAGAGCCAACTCTGCTCAAGAAGCTACCTTCCAAATAGAGCTACCCAGGAAAGCCTTCATCACCAACTTCTCCATGTAGGTGGCTTCTACCTCTTTGATTCACAACCCAGCCCTGCAACTCCATCTGTCTGGGCCTGAGATGTGTTGTTCCAGAAGCTGGTTACTTGGGACACTGCTCCACCTGTCGGCCTCACAGGGAGCAGGGACGTTATCAAGCCCTGTGAGATTTCTGTCCCTCCTGTCTGTCATCCAGATTCCTCACTAAATACTGAGAGGTGGCAGACCAAGAACCACAGCATCTTGGAATCTTTGCCTTTGAGAAGTACAAGCCTAGAGCAACTCTAGGCCAGCACTAGGCCCAGGAAGTCACCAAAATCAGATTCCATCTGGAAAAATATAAGCCCTTACTCCTGGGGTCCTCTTTGTCACTGCAGAGGACAGGCAGGTCTACTGTTTCCTCAGAAGATGCCAGGGTTTCAGTGGACTCTGAGCTTGCAGGAGTCCTTACCTTGCCCTCTGCCTTCCTGCACACCCCCGCCCTGATCTATTTTGCAATGTTTATTAAACTTGGGAAAAATCCATGCTTGGCCCTAGCCTCCTGGAGAGGCAGGCATGGAAGGTGGGCTGCACTTGGGGTAGAGGAGAGCAAGAGCACAGGCTAGGGTGGGTATTTCTGAAAAACTGCAGGGTGGGGGGCTAGGTTACCTATGGTTGGCTCCTCCCTTTCTCCCCACCCATCTCCATCCCAGAACAGTTTCTGTTTCCTGACCCTGGAGCCTAGGCCAATGGGCCCCCAGATCTTTCTACTGCCTGCCCCCTGCCCTGGCCAGGAATCCCAGCAGAGCATCTGGAGAAACTATGAACTTTCCATCCAGCAGAAGGAGCCTAGCTTCCTGTTCATCTCCATTCTTTTTTTGTTTTGTTTTGGTTTGGTTTTTTGTTTTGTTTTGTTTTGTTTTTTGAGATAGGGTTTCTCTGTGGCTTTGGAGGCTGGCTGGTCTCCTGAGTACTGGAATTAAAGGTGTGTGCCACCAACGCCTGGCTTGTTCATCCCCATTCTGACCCAGAGTTACACCATGACCAGAGAAGACAGAGAAAGATGCCTGTTCTGTGTACTCAGCTGGGTGCCCTCCCACCCCTTCTCGGCACACTTCCACCCACGCATACCACTCCCAAAACGAGCAGTGTCCATTTACTGGTCCCTATTCACCCCACAAAGAATTCCGGGAACAGTCATTTTCTGTGCAAAGAAATGGTCCTGGCAGTTCCTTCCCAACCTAAAAGGATGATGGCTAGAAGCTTGTCTCCACCACTAGGTGTCCAAACCTGCTTCCAAAGATGCCAAGCTCCCTGCAACATCCATCCTAAGCAGGAGGGTAGAGGGAGAAGCTGCAGAGAATAGGATCACAGCCTTCAGCCCTGTGTCTCCCTCCTGCTCAAGTCTGGCCCCACAAGAGGTTTGATTCAGGGCTGGGTAAAGAACAATTCATTACTGCATTGTTCTCGAGCTTCAGAACAGTTCACCGGGTCATGGGGCAGCTCAGAATGTGGGCTGAGTTTAGCCTCCTCTGTAACCTTCTGCCCTGCCCCTGCAGTAAAAGCCATGTGTGCTAACACTGTATGTCTCAGGGCAGCTGAAAGCCTCTCCCAGTGTTGTACGTGAGGCCTTCTACACAGTAAGTGCATGATAAAAGGCATTGGCCTTAGACAAAGACAGGGGCTACATCAAGAAGCTCACCGAATTCTAGAAAGGCCCTTCTAAAAAAGTTCTCAACTGTTCTCTTCCCTACTTAGGGTCATCGATGGTGTGACTTATCCAGGGATTGTCCAAGACAAGGCTGCAGCCCAGGAGCAGTACAGTGCAGCAGTGCGCCGGGGAGAGAGCGCTGGCCTCGTCAAGTGAGCTTGTGGAGAAGGGTGCATCTATGTAGAGACTGGCCCTACCTTGGCCTTTAGCCTTGCTCCTCACCCCTCCCCTCCAGCAATGATTCCCTACCTGACCCAGTGGGTTCTTGTTCATTTTGCCCAGGACCGCTGGGAGACAGACAGAGAAGTTCGAAGTGTCAGTCACCGTGGCCCCTAATGCCAAGATTACCTTTGAACTGGTATACCAAGAACTGCTAAGACGGCGACTGGGAACGTACGAGCTACTCCTAAAAGTGAAGCCACAGCAACTGGTCAAGCACCTTCAGGTATCTGGCACCGCCCTCTCCAGGAAGCTCCCTAGATTTCCCTTCCCAGCTAAGGCAGCCTCTCCTTGCTTCCTAGCATCCTGGGGGCACAGCCTACCTCATGGGTCCCCTGGTGACCCATATCTTGCTTGCTTTCAGATGGATATCCACATCTTTGAGCCTCAGGGTATCAGATTGCTGGAGACAGAGAGTACCTTCATGACCCAGGAGCTGGCAGATGCCCTTACCACCTCACAGAACAAGACCAAGGTGGGCCTGCTGTGACTACCAAGTGAGGACATCCCTGGGCTAGTCTTTAGTCCAGCTGACTGTGGTCTAGATTCCCAAATCCAAAACAATTGGAAGTTCTCTGAGCTGGGAAGGCTTCTGAGATCTGTGTCCATGCCAGTGCCAAGAAGACAGGACAGTAAGACCTAGAGAGGGTCAGTGGACCCTTGTAGGAGCTTAGGTTAATGGGGGACAAGCTTGGAGGGTAGACTGGTGGGAGGGGTCTTCAAAAGAGACAACTGGATTGCACTGAGCCCAGATGCTTGCATGTCCCCAGAAATGGGATTCATACATGAACATGTCCTCCTCATATACATACCAAATGGAAACAGGCATCTTTCAGCTCAGAATGCACATCCCCCAGAATGTTCACCCATGGCTGCATATAGAATCTGATTTTCCAATGTGCACATAGAAGGGGGTGTTGGCTTCACTGTTCCTCCAGCATCAGCTTTGATTGTTCCTCCAGGCACATATCCGCTTCAAGCCAACACTCTCCCAGCAACAAAAGTCTCAGAATGAGCAGGACACAGTCCTGGATGGGGACTTCATTGTCCGCTATGATGTGGAGCAGTCTGACTCTGGGGGCTCCATTCAGGTGGGTGGACTCCAGGCAAGAGTAGTGAAACCTCAAAGTCTAAGCACGAGTGTTCTGGAAAAGGAAAATGATGGCCCCCTCCTTCATACTGTCCACTAGGGGTTGGCTCACACAGAAGATAGGCAGTTCAGTTCTGGTGACCCTGAATACTATTCCCTTTCTGGAGGCAGAAAAGGTTTCTCTCTGCAAAGAATTGCTTTGTGGCATTTCCCTCTGCCATTGTCGCCCAGAGCCTCCAAGTCCAGCAGCTGTGTTCGTCATCTGTCCTTCCCCTTACTCCTTGTTTCCCCAGCATTCCCTCTTGATGGATATTGGGTTCATTATGTCTTTTAGTATACGCTGCTTCAAATAATAAAACAGGGGACAAAGTTATGGAGAGACTTTTAGGGCTATACATGAATATGGAAGTCTTCTGCTAACAAGGGGCTGAGCTTTGAAAAATTGTGGGGATTTGGGGGACCTAAGGAGCTGGGGCGGAGAGGGATCATGAAAGGAGAACATAGGAACCAGGGATTTGGGATGAAGTGACCTGACAGAAGTAGGGCAGGGCTGAAGTTCTCATCACCTAGGTGTGCTCTCACTCTGGTCACAGATTGAGAACGGCTACTTTGTGCACCACTTTGCCCCTGAGAGTCTTCCGACAATGCCCAAGAATGTGATCTTTGTCATTGATAAAAGCGGATCTATGTCAGGCAGGAAAATCCAGCAGGTAAGTCTCCTGGACACTGAGATCAGCAGCAGCCTGACCTGTTACAGCATCCTGGGTGGGGGTTTCCTAGGGCCAAGTCTGGCCCAAAGCATACTCTATGAGCCCACTGGAGATACCAGGAAATGAGCCCAAGGACCACACACCTTTAGGTAGCTCCTCTGAGACCCCTGCCTTGTCTTCTCACCTCTGACTAGACTCGAGAAGCCCTAATCAAGATCTTGAATGACCTCAGCCCCAAAGACCATTTCAACCTCATAGTGTTCGATTGGAAAGCAACCCAATGGACACAATCACTGATGGAAGCCTCAGAAGAGAACTTGAAAAGGGCCACAGAGTATGCTTCCAAGATCCATGCTCACGGAGGTAAGTGCCTCTGCATTGTGGGAGGCTGGGGGCTTCCATGGTCACTATCTGGGATCAACCCTGAGTATGTGCCCTTCAGGGACCAACATCAATGATGCAATGCTATTGGCTGTGAAAATGCTAGATAGCAGCAACCAGGCTGAGCTACTGCCCAAGGGAAGTGTCTCCCTTATCATCCTGCTCACGGACGGTGAACCCACTGAGGGTGAGGACACTATGGCATTCTGGGGCATGCTAGACATAGAGCCAGGCTGGAACTGCTTCCAGACTGGCTATGAAACCTGGGGCAGGGAGAAGGGGAATCCTCAAGACCTCTTTGGTTCTGAAGTTCCAGAAATGTCCATTGAGCAAATAATTCCTTTCTCATCCTCTCCCCAAATTCATGAGTCTAGGGGAGACCAATCCTGCAAATATCCAAAGGAATGTACAGGAAGCCATCAACAACCAGTACAGCCTCTTCTGCTTGGGCTTTGGCTTTGATGTCCACTATTCTTTCCTGGAAAAGTTGGCACAGGATAATGGTGGCCTGGCCCGGCGCATCTATGAGGACTCAGACTCTGCACTGCAGCTCCAGGTACAAGTTTGATCCAAGGTGGGATACAGAACCTGTTTGCCTGCCCTTTGTGACATATTCCCCTGCCACCCTGCAGGACTTCTACCACGAAGTAGCCAATCCGCTGCTGTTGTCAGTGGCCTTTGAATACCCAAGTGATGCCGTGGAGGTGGTCACGCAGGACAACTTCCGACACCACTTTAAGGGCTCAGAGATGGTGGTGGCTGGGAAGCTCCAGGACCAGGGTCTTGATGTTCTCTCAGCTAAAATCAGTGGGCAGATGGTGAGTGTGGCTCAATCATCCTGGAGCCAAGGGGCAGCTGGAGCCACCTGGGAAGCCTCCTCATTTGCAGCCAGAAGGACTGGGCACATGTCCCAGCCATACTAAGTTCCAGCTGATTGACCCTGAGTGGGTGTCAAAGGACCCTTTTCCTTGGGTTTTCCTGAAGGACACCAGCCCCAGCTGCATGGGTTCATGGTAGAAATCCAATAAAACAATGTAGTGATGCTCACGAGAGAACCTAGCACATATAGGAACTGATGACTCGGTCTGCCCCGCTGCCACCTGTCTCTTCTGTGAGCATCCAATGATAGCAGGTGTTCCTTCCTAATGGCCCATTCCCTCTGTCCTCATGCTAGGCCTTTGAAGATGTGGGTAGACAGAGAGAGATACTTCCATTTCACAGGTGAGCAGACCAAGGACCAGGCAGGACAAACAGTGTATGCTGGTCCCCTCTGCTTCTGGGCCTGAAGCCCAACTCACCTCGTAGAACCCCAATCTTGCTCTGACTTCTCTATCCCTGGGTGCTGGAGGTTCAGCCTGCCATCTCACAGATTAAAAAACAGAGTCTTTAGGTTGAGGGTTGCAGCAGTAAATAAGGCCAACCCTCCTTACCCTTCTGGAATAGACAGCTTGTACACAAGTGGAGTGACAGCCAAGAATGTTCCTGACAGCATGTATCCAGGACTTTAGCAGAAGGTATGCTAAGATTGATTGATAAGAAGGAAGGGCTGTCAGGCTCATATGCCTGCAAGGCACCTTGTCTACAGAGAATGGCAGTGGGTTTGGGGGACCTCTTCTTAGACACAGCCAAGTGGTAGAACTGTTCCTGAAGACGATGTGGCCAAACAACCTATCTTTAAACCAAGCTCCATCACCTCCCATAGGTGAGAAGTGAGGAAATTGCTTAAGCTCCGTGTTCATCAGTTTCCTCCTGGTTACAAACGTGTCTAACTTGCATGCCTACTTCATAGAGTTCCTATGGAACTGTCTAGCCCCATGTACACACAAACATGAGTCGGACTTCAAACATAAGGGATGGGGTTGCTTACACATCTCTTTTCTTTTAGTACTGGGAATTGAATCTAGGGCCCTAAGCTATATCCCTGTTCCTGTTTTTACTTTTTATTTTGAGATAAGACCTTGGTAAGTTTCCCAAGACTGCTTTGAACTTACCCTGTAGCCCAGACAGGCCTTGGCTTTCTAATCCTCCCATATCAGCCTCCCAAGTAACTAGAATCAAAGGCTTGTGCCACCACACTCAGTTCTTGGGTGAGACCAAGGAAACGTTCGTCTATTCAAAATTCATTGAAGGAAAAACATAAAATAAGTAGCCTTACAGTGTAGATAGAGAAAACCTCTTGCTTGTGGCCATCATGTACCAAAGCTTTGGCAAGCCAGGCTCTGGGGAAGAGTCAGGGAGAGGCCGGTGCCAGCAGAATGGGCAGAAAAGTGTACACGGCCTCTTAGCTGTCCTTCTGATTAAAAAAAAAAAAAAAAGACGGGCACTTTTGCTCTTAGCCCCATTTCCTAGGCTTCCAGCTTGGCCAGACTAAGCCCACTGACCACCTTTTCCCTGGGAAGAAAGCCAGACGGTAGGAAGGCTCATGTTTCCTGTTATCACCCCACAGGCCAGCCCCAGCAGAGGGCAGTGTGGAGCAGACAGCTTGTTGCAGTTCTGAAGTTCTAGTTCCATCTCTACTGCTAACTACTGGGGAAAGCCCTTTCTTCTCCTTCTTTTCCTTTTCCCCATGTTTGGGGGAGGGGAACCCTTTCTGCTCCACACTTCTGCACTGACCTGGAAGTTGTCTCCCTTCTTGTAAAAGGTCAGCTGACCTGAGCTCCTGGCTCCGTAGCCGTCTCGCTATACCTGGACAGCTGCTAACATTTCTCCCCACCTCCCTCCTGCTCTGGACGACCTGAGGGAGGCCCTCATACTCCTGAACTCCCTACCCCTCCCCACACAATACTCAAAAGGAGTGAAGCCCTCATAGTTGCTCTATGCCCTGGTCTGCCCCAGTCCCAGTCAGGGCTCTAATGAAGAGCCCTGAAGACTGGTCAGCTGCAGACAAGGCCCTCACTCTCTCCCCTGGGTTGGCACCTCTTTCCAGCATAAGCAGAACATCACCTTCCAAACGGAGGCCAGCATAGCCCAAAAGGACTTCCAGAGCCCCAAGTACATCTTTCACAACTTCATGGAGAGACTTTGGGCACTGCTAACTATACACCAACAGCTGGAGCAGATGTGAGTGACCCTGACCTTTGCAAGCCACTGCAGTGGGTTTCATATGACATAAATAAAACTTTCAAGGTGGGGCAGGTACAGTTGGTTCAGGTAATCTACCAAGTATGGCATGAGGTGTTATGTCCAAACTCTATATTCTCCCAAGGGGACTCACAAGAAGGGGCCAGTGAAAGGGAGACCGACCGCCAAGATACCCAGGGACCTCCTGAGCTCTTATGTCTTCAACCCACAGGGTCTCAGCATCAGGTGATGAATTAAAGGCCCTTGAATCCCAAGCTCTGAATTTGTCACTCAAATACAATTTTGTCACTCCTCTTACACATATGGTGGTCACCAAACCTGAAGGCCAGGAACAATTTCAAGTTGCTGGGAAGCCCGTGGAAGCTGGTGAGTGTGAACCTGGGTTTTGACCTCATCATCAGGGAAGCTCCTCTGCCTTATGACCAAGCCCCTGCCATCCACAGACTCCCAGAGACCCAGGGAGCCCCATCTCATCTCACTAAGGAAGAAACTGAGAACAAGTCTTTCAGGCCCCTAGATTCTCTGGGGAAGCAAGTTTAAACATAAGCACTTTGAATTAGCAAAACCACCCCATAATACCTCCCTTTCCTTTTCTTTTTCTTTGTGCAGACAATGGACTAAGGAGTGTCTTAAGAGGTAAGGGCCTAGCCTAATAGTTCAAAAGCTGGCCTGTGTACGTTCCACTGGCATGCTCTGCCCTGCTGCCAGGAGCTGGTGTTATCTGACCAAACTCACAGGTCTAGTTAGTCACTTGCTCACTCAAATACGGGCTACCCCTCAGGCCTTGACCTGGGTATTGCCTGTTCAACCAGGTAACAGCATAATGCCTGAGCCTTTCATTCCCACCTGTACTTATTATTGAAAAAAGGTGGGGTGTTTAGACATGGCAGGGTAAGGAATAAGGGCTTTGAATTCTTAAGACTGCTTCCTGCTGACGTGGGGGGCGTTGACCATCTTTGGGGGACCCAAGAAGGTTGGGGTGCTGTTCCCTTCTCCCTCCCTTCCTCCCCTCCATCCGCCCAACTAAAAACCCTACCTATCACATATCCTTTCTTCTAATCTATACCTGACTCAACCTTTCTGCTCCCTCATGACATCTGATTTTTTCTTTTCTTCCCTTCTCATTCTCGTAGCTCCCTCCCCCCTCTTCCCATGCTCTCAATTTGCTCAGGGGAGTAAACGCAAGTCTTACTGTCTTTCAGGTCAAAGCCATTTTTTCAAGTCTTATGCCAAAAGACCTGGACTGCGCAGACTAGGTAACAATGGAAGAAAGGATAGGAAGGGAGGTTTGTAGAATTGTGGCAGGGTATAGGCTGGACTCTGCGCTTGGCTGTGGAAGGATAGTGCCTACCCTGGTTCACTTGGCTGGTAAGAGGCCTGTGACTAAAGATCAGGTGTGTTTAATTAGAAGGTGGCCACCTAGAACCTGGCTTGACCCAGAGAAGGGGATTTAGTAATCAGGTGATTTAAGGGGCACAGTCCAGGGGAGGATCGACCTGCCATGGGGGAAAGTTACACATGTAGTTGTCTCCTGGCTAGGGGAGGCTCTCCAGCAGGGAAACTGGCTCTGTGCCCTCTCTCTATCCTACTCCTAGCATTGTTAAGGTTCCTAGTCCTGGCTGTGGGGATCCAGGACATCCTCTGTGAGAACACTGCTCATGTCAATGTTTTAAAGTAGGAACTAGTTTCCACTTGGACCCCAAACCGGATGCTGTTGGCACTGCACTTAGACAACACAATTTTCCTGGACTTCGTGGACACCCTGGTGATCTTCACCTTACTGCTAGCTTTGATGGCTTTACTCCCAACCTGCTTCGCATCATGGGAAGGATGCCAGACATGACATCCTTATGTGAGCCCCCTTCCTTCCTGACCCACGGTGGCTTTCCTTTTCTTTATAACTCAGTGACTCTAACACATAGAGGGAGAGAAAGCACCAGCCACAGCCTAGGCAAGGACACTTGCAAAGAAAGCAGGTGACCTAGGCCTAGCTAGGACCCTGTCCTAGAGCAGAGCCAGGGTCCAAAGCTGTGGTGAGTGTGTCATTTCCTATGGCTACCTCACTTTTCCATCTCTCAGCCAGCCTCCCCTTTGCCTTGTCCTTAGCATTTTGTGTCAGGCATGTGCTGCCCTGGCTCTTGCTCTGCCCCTAGATTGTCATCCTACAAGCTTTGACAGGGCACCCTCTCCTGTGAACCCTGGAGCCCAAGAGAACTCATCACAAGGCTCTTCTTCTTTCCCTCGTGAGGCACCTCTTCCCCCACCAGTTAATGGACACCAGCCCTTGCTCTCCAGAGCAGGGACTCTCTACATCCTTTATTTTCACTGAAGATCCACTCCCCATGATGGAAAAGGAAGCCTTCCCCATGTCCAATGTCAACTATGGTCCTTGTGCTGCTTCCCATTCCCAATGTGAAGTCAGACTCAGTCAGGACCTATCTTGAAATCTCCCCTGCCCTGTTGGCCTGAGCTTGATGGGCAGGAAGGGCGGGGGCAGGGTACCCACAGGTGCAGCAGGCCTTGCATCCTGATGACCTCTCCCTTTCTCTCTGTGACTGTTCCTGTGCTCACACTCACCTCAGCAACAGGAGCTCCTGTGGTTTCAAGTCAAGCTGTGTTACAAAGCATGGAGGAAAAAGATAGAGGTACTGGGGCTAGGGTGTATGTAGCTCGGTGATAGACGGTTTGCACAAGTCCCTGGATCTGCTTCCCGGTGCCAGAAACAAACACCCAAGCCAGAACTCCCGCAGGAGCTCCCAGAGATACTGGAAATGAGGGAGCCCTGGAGATACGGGGGAGCCTTGGGTCTCTATAACCTGTTACATAGTATCCTACATATTCAAGTGGAAAGAGAGAGCCCAGCCACAGTCACCCACTACTCCACCCACAATGCCCTCTTCCCCAGAAAGGAACTACCTGAACCCAGGCTTTTTCTCCCTTCTTTAGAAAGCACCATTCCAGATGTACTCCCACACCCAGGTCATTAGTCCCCTTCCAGCATCCCACCCCACCTTTGCCCTGCCAGACTCTTGCTGACCCAGGAACTGTGTACTGGCTATTTCAGCCCACTTCCAGGCTTTTCCTATCATCTTGCCGCTTCCTGGATCCTGTGTGGGCCAGCTCTGTGTGGATATACAATCTAGGGGAACCATGAAGCTGTTTGAAGACCCTGGGCAGGGTAAGAGCTGTATCCCATGTATCCACATGGAAACCAGACCCCAGCCATATGACTTACGCCTAACCACAGCAAGGTACCCATCATGGGCATATGTCCCTCTGACAGCCACTTACAAGATTTCACCAGGAACTCCTCAGGGTCACCCAGGATTGTCAGATGGACCCAGAAAAGGGTAAGGGTGTCCCAGGTAGAGGAGCTAGAGCTGAAGAACACAGGTACCCAGTGTCTCAGTGTGGAGGAGGGGAATGGTTAAAGAAACAGATGTGCTAGCCAGATTCCCACTCACTAATCCTGGAATGACCTCACTGATCAAGCTGAAGTGTCCTGGCAGACACAAGGCTGTATAGCAGTCATGAGTGTTTATGCTGAGCTACGAAGCACTCTGGGACAGCCACAATTCCTTCATTCCTTTGAGAACCACTTTCCACCTCACTCTCAGCCATGTAGCTGTCTCAGGATTCAGGCACACTGCAGGGGACTGATGAATGCTTTGGTCCTTGAAACAAGACACACACACCCTTTATCAAAAGTCTACAGGGTGGCCATCAACAGGATTTGAGGTCCAAATCCACTGAGAACCAAAGCTTGAGTGTAGAAATCATAAGAACATGACCTGAGCCAGGCATAATGGCATGAAGCTTTAATCCCAGCACTTGGGAAACAGAGGCATGCTGTTCTCTGAGTTTGAGGCCAGCCTGGGCTACTAGGTGAGCTCTTGTCTTAAAAATGGGGAAGAAAAAGGAGAAGAACCAAACCTGAGGTGGAAGTATTGCTGAGTGGACACAAGAGTGACCCTTCCCGGGCTCTAGTTCCTAGAAGGACATAGTTTGTGAGACCCGCCCCCTCTCAGGCCATTGCTCAGAATTGACTTTGAACTCTCTGGTCTGGTCTTCTTAGGGCTTTTGGTGGCTGGTGATTATGAGAAAGGCGGGTTCTCACGGATCAAAGTGAACATCCAGGAGCCTCACTTGCATATCTATGCAACCCCTGAACGCTTGGTGGTGACACGGGACCGAAAAAACTCTGAGTACAAATGGAAGCAGACACTATTCTTTGTATTACCTGGGTAAGTCCTAGGGTGGGGTCCCAGGTGTATGTGGCCTCTCAGGCTGCACTGACTGAGATGCTAGTGATAACAGGTGGCCAGAGGCCACAGATGAAGTGGTTGGTTATGAGTACCCTGTGGTGGGCTGTACTCCTGGTAAATTCCCTAATGTCCTGCAGCTCTGGAAGCATTGTCCTGGGACCTGGACCTCATCACTAACCCAGGTCACTAGGCCATAGAAAAGTGGCATGGTTTGGATCTAGCTTTGGAGCCAATCCCATGTTCATGAGCCATATAGCTCTTCAAGTCTTCTTTTCCTTACTAGTCACTAGACTCCTCCAGACTCAGTCAGAGGCCTGGGGGACCCGTAGAAAGAAATTCCATGGGCATGGAGAGGCAGATCATGACGGTGGGAAGTGTGAGAGGGCACTAAGAGGTAGAGAAAGCAAAGGAGCACATGCCTGTCTAGCAAACTTTTTTTCTGCTTTTTTGTGCCATCTGGGCCCCCACCCTAATGCATGTTGTTACCTATATTCAGGGCAGTCTTCCCTGCTGAGTTGGTATCTAACATGCCAATGGTCTCTGGAAATGCCTTTATGGACACACTCAAAAATATTCTTTTGTGATCTCCTAAGTATTTCACAGCCCAATCAAAATGACAATTTAAATTAGTCATCATCCTGTTTGAAGCTTTGGCAAGGAGAGAGCTGTTTGCCTGATATCACATGTTGGGAAGGTAGTAGGAAATGGAGGCAGATGGTGACTATGGGAAGCATAACTCTCCCACTGTAGGACAGCTCTCTAGCTTGGTGAGTCACAGGAGGCTGGAGACCTTTTGCAGGATGTTCTCTGTATTTCCAGCCTATTCCATAGCCTATCTTTTCCCAAGCAAAGGGTCTTGTCTGTTTCCATCTTGCCAAGCCTTTAGTAGGGCCTTGTTCACATTTGATAAGTAAGCATACACACAGAAAATCCAGTGTGCTCATCTGAAGTCCTTCCACTGTCATAAAGTGTAGGCTGGTTTGCTTTAGCAACTATGGCTCCTTCCACAACAATCAAAAATTCAAAGACAACACAATAACATACAGTATCCAGACTCTATATATTTTCTATCTTTACATGGCTTATTATATTTTTATTACTCTATTTCTTTTTAAGGACTTTACCTTATTTTAAAACTATATTTTTTAATCTAAGACCGTATATGCTCTTTCTCTTCTCTATCCCAAGCCTGTAGCTTTTTTTGGAGGTTGTCCTAAAACTCGCTATAACTATAACCCGTTCAGAGGTCTCCTTTGTCTGAATCTGTATTTACTGCATATCTGTAACCTTTTTCTGCCTGTATGAGCCTTTAAACTGGGAGATGCTTTTCTGTACTGAAGCCAGCATGAGAGACTGTAGGAACCTGCCATTTGGCTTCTCTCATGGTACACTGGTGGCTCAAGCCCACAGGCAGCAGCCAGCATGAGAGACACAAAACTGGGAAGCTGCTCTTGGTTCCATTTCTGTATATCTAGAATCCTTTAAAAAAAAAAAAAAAGATTTTATGTGGGAATTCCAGCCCCATGTTGGAATGCCATTTGTAGGTGGACATTTCTTTCCTGGTTGCCAGTTCCCAAATAACCAACACAGAAACTTAATATCAACTATAAAATCTCAACCAATAGCTCAGGCTTGTTAGTAGCTAACTCTTACATTTTAAATTAACCCATATTTCTTATCTATCCTCTGCCACATGGCTCATGGCTTGTTACCTCATTTTCTACTTGTTCTGCTTCCTCTGTGTCTTCTGGCATCTCCCCTGACTCTGCCGTTCTTCATCCCAGCATCCTTAGTTTGGTTGTCCCACCTATATTTCCTGCCTGGCTACCAGCCAATCAGTTTTTTATTAAATAAATTTGAATGACAAATCTTTACAGTGAACAAAAGGATTATTCCACAGCATTTCTCCCTTTTTGTTTATTTAAAAAAGGAAGGTTTTATTTATTTATTTATTTATTTATTTATTGGTTTTTTGAGACAGGGTTTCTCTGTGGCTTTGGAGGCTGTTCTGGAACTAGCTCTTGTAGACCAGGCTGGTCTTGAACTCACAGAGATCCACCTGCCTCTGCCTCCCAAGTGCTGGTATTAAAGGTGTGTGACTCCACCGCCCAGCAAAAAGGAAGGTTTTAATTTTAATAAAGGGTATAGTTTTCTTTCAAGGTAAGCACCTTTTAATCTTAACAATAAAGAAAAACAGTAGGTTCTTCCTCTTATTGATGAGATAGAATGAGAAAAGACTTCCCCTACAGATGTTAAAATGCATTGTTTAACATTAGTTATCGGAAACCCGTGGCACTATAAAAACACAGGGATCAGGGCAGGCCTATGAGACTCTGCTGCTGCTGTGAGAGCAGAAACCCCAGGGAACATCTTAAGGGAGGGAGGATTAACTCTTTGCACATCAGAGGTTCCAGTCCATCAGGCAGGAGAACAGAGTGGCTCACAACACAACAGCCCAGGGCAGAGAATGCCTGCAAGAAAGAATTTTCTCCCTTTTATCCCATCCATGCCCCAATTTTTGAGATAGTGTGGTCCATGTTCAGAATGGGTCTTCATTTTACCTCCAGAAATATCCCTTTAGACTCATCCAGAGATGAATTTTACTAATATTCCAGGTGCTTCTCAGTCCAATCAAACTGACAATGACTGTTATCCATCACCCCCAATAAAAGCATATAAAATTCATTCATGAGAAACAAAATTTAAAACCAGAGGGAAGGAATTATAATTCTCTTTTATAAACGGTGCAGTGAAATTGGACATTGTTAAGCTCACCTTGGTGCTATTCTGCCAATGACAAAACTGAGCCTAGGAGATTTAAGGGAGTCTCTGCTAAGGCCACACAATGACTTCCTGCTCAAGAGGAGAGTTCCCCACCCCTACTGAGACTCCACACAGGTGTCTCTTCCTTCCTGCTCAGGGTTTGGGATTTCTCTGCAGCTTGAAGATAACCATGGACAAGATGGGACTCTTCCGCCTCAGTGGCCCAGACAGAGTGAACATTGCCCTGGTGCCCATGGATGAGCCTCAGAAGGGACTGATGCTCCTTGTGGATGACACTCAACACTTCTCCAACCGCACTGATGGGGAACTCGGTACTTCACTTGCCCTTAGAAGTTGCCTGTGACTGAGCACAGGCAGGGAGGTTCCTCTCACAGTGCCCACCTCCCTCACTGTCTTTATCCCTCACTGACCTAGCCTTTTATCTCAGGTCGGTTTTACCAGGATATCATCTGTGATCCACCAGTTGGATCAGATGACACAATACGGACATTCAGAGTTCAGGGAACACAGTACTCTACTACCAAGTAAGTATACAAACAGACCCCTGAGCCTGGCTATGGTGGGTGGGGATTAGGAGGGTGAGAGCTGGGATCTACATATCCCCACTCTGGTCCCCTTGCTTGGGAACTGAAAACAGATGAAAGGTTGATTCAGCTTATTCTTACATAAAACACACAGGCTCTGGGCTGTGGACAGTAGCATGCTCTTCTTGTCCCTTCCCCAGGGTCCAAAGTCCTGGGCCCAGAAATCTCACATGCTAAGTCCCTTGAATAACCCTTTGGGCAAATGGGCCTTCCTGACCTATGTCAGAGGGAATTCTGAGACTCCCTACACTCCATGTTCATGTCTGCAACTGTCTCCCATCTCTTTCATCTTACCTGAGGTTTGTTGAACACCTACTTATGTTCTTCTGTTGTCTTCCACCCCAGACAGCTTAAACTGAAATACCAAGGAGGGTCGAATGGAACAGATATTTCCTGCTGGACTGTGAAGATATAGCTGTTAGGAACAGTGTTCCCTGCCATGCTGCCATTGTATGCAGATGTATGCCAACAGGGCCACCAGGGAGGCCTAGATCTCAACGGAGAAGAGGATTCTCATTTATCACAAATAAAGACTGATGATGTGAACCCAGGGAGTTGGTGTCATGATTCCATGAGGCCAGTCCTGGGGGCTTAGGATTCCAACCTAAATATTCTGCCTCAAAGAAATGTAGACTCTTTCACAACTGTTCCTCAACAGCCTGGGGCCAGGGAAACCCTACAGAGTTTTCAGCCCTATCTTAGTCTTTGTCACAGGAATATAAAGCCAGCCATTCAAAATGTCAGTGCTCCACCAAGTGAGGGCCCAGACTGGAGTGTTCTCCAGAGAGAGCAGTGTACTGGCTACTTTGTGGTTGCCTGGACCATGGAAGCCACTTTGACTCAGGAAGACTCCACCAGGTTGCACAGTTGTGTGATGTTTTTTCTCAAAGAGATGTGAATGAATGTCTTTTCATCCCAGAAAGGGCACCAATGACAGATCAAAAAAGGGTTCCACCCTAGTCTGCTGCCAGAAGACCAGCATTCAGCAGCTTAGAGAGACTGAAAGGAACTGTGGCGTTTTCCCCCTGAAGGTCAAGGCTTAGTTCTTAGTTTTTTTTCTTTTCTCTCTGCTGGAGGTCCTCTTTTTTTTTTAGCCTTACATTTTCCCCTTATCCCTTTTATTATATCTAAGACAAAACTTTCTACATAAGAAAAGATTACCTCATAACCACAAGTTGCATATTTCTAAAACACGAATTAAAATCTTTACATAAGAAGAAATCACATTAAGATCACAATTACCTGTTTTCCTTAGAAGCCCACAAGTAAACTAACCAGGCTGGTCTCAAACTCACAGAGATCTGATTGCCTCTGCCCCCTGAGTGCTGGAATTAAAGACTTGTGCCACCACCACCTGGCACATTTTTCTTTGTATCAGTTTTCCCACCATAATATTTTCACTCCAAAGCAGTGAGTCTTTTATTACCAATTAACAAAGTTTGAAGCAAGCTAAGCCAGTTCTTTTTGCACTGGCAGGCAGCTGTTTGCAGCTTCAGTGTAGCAGATTTCTAGTCTTAATTCTACTCCAGAAAATCTACAGGTGGGCCAGCCGGTCATTTGCTTTCCTGTACACACAGTAGGGCCATTTAATTTCTTTTTACAACTTCGTTTTTTGCAAGGTACATACCAGGGCCTGTGGTTAATTCTATAAGTTACATAACCAAGGAACTCAGGCCTAACCTTGGGTGTGGGGATCATGACTGCTTTCTTTAACCATCAGCCTATTTTTCCATAGGCAGAATTCATGGGTCTATAATGCATGAAACTCCCTTGTTCTTATTTTCCATCCTCTGCAAATCTCATGTCTAACAAAGGGGAAGGCTACTACTTCTAGCCTATGTTTGCCTTTTTTGTGTCTCTTATTGGAACAATTGGGAGAATAATCTAAGTCCTGTCCTTAGTCATCTTTAGTAACTGTCCTAACCACCTGTATCAAGGCTCACTGAGAAAATCCCATTAAATCATAGGGGCATGGGTGAGGGGTTACATACAAGAGCATGCCTGACTCCAAGACCATCACTGTAAAGCCCACCCATCATGGATGATGACTCAAGGTTGCATCCCTGGGGGCAGGAGAGCTGGCTCTGTGGTTAAGAGCATTTGCTGCTCTTTCTGAGGCCTGAAGTTCGGTTCCCAGCACACCCCCCATAAATAAAAAGTTATTAGAGGCCGGAGAGCTGGCTCAGTAGTTAAGAGCATTGGCTGCTCTTCCAGAGGACCTGGATTGGATTTCTAGCACTCACATGGTGACTCACAACTGCCTATAACTCCATTTGCAGTGGGTCTGATGACCTCTGCTGGACTATATGCAAGTGCTACACAGACATACTTGCAGGCAAAACATCCGTACACACAAAATATACACAGTGGCGAGGCCTGAGCCCAAAAGGCAAGCAAGGGCTGCTTCTAGAAACTTCTCATCTAAGGGTTATGGGACTCTCAAGTCTGACCTTTGAGGGTTTTCTCTCTGGAGCATGTGCCAGAGTTAGACACCCTGGAGATTCCACACAAAATAACTTTAAATTTGTATTATAATTCAGGGTGTAGCTATGCACACCTTTAATCCCAACACTCAACAAGCAGAAGTAGATGAATCTCTGTGAGTTCAAGGCCAGCTTGGTCTTCATAGCAAGTTTCAGAGCTACATAGAAAGAACCTGCTTCAAAAACAAACAAAACAAACCAAAAACAGCCTTTGTATCCAGAGTTTCATATGTATCATATGCATAGAATCAACCAGCTGTGGGTTGAAACTTTTCCAGAAAAGTTGTACGCATGCTGAATAGATACAGATTCCTCCTGACACTATCCTGAGCAGCACAGCATGGTAACTCTGCATAACACTGTGTTTGGTGTTAGAAGTGCCTTGCAGATGATTTAAGAGCACAAGAGACGTAAGCCGGCTCTATGTGAGCACTACACTATTTTATATATGGGACTTGAACATCCATGGATTTTTAGTGTCCTTGGGGGTCCTGAAACCAATCAGCCATAGATACCAAGGGACAACCGGACCCTACCTACTTCTAGAAAAAAGGGCACAACCTGTGGCTTACAGATAGAGGTTGTAAGAAGAATAAAACCGTGAGTATTAGGATGAAAGAACCAAGCAATAGGATAGCAACGTCAGACACCAAAGTTGAGGAAGCTGCAGAACCAGCTGACCAAAGTTTTACCAGGATAAAAACAGAAAGCAAGCTAGCCCACTTGCTTGTTAGTGAAAGCTGTTTTAAGTTTTTTCATCAGAAAACTATTCCGTGCCAGCTCTTGAGCTATGGAGGGTGTTGGTTCGGATGAGTCTTTCTCTAAGAGTGAGCCATCAGGACAATGGGTAAATTTCTGGCATGCTTGCCCAACGTGTGAGAACACTCTCCTTGCACTGCTGCTCCTCCACCCAGACTCTTCAGCAGAGACCTCATGCCAGAATAGCAGGAGACAAGAAAGCAACCCAGGGTAGGGGACTTGCTGTGAGACTAGAGGCAGGTGAGCCTGTCCAGCCTGAGTTCACTCTTCGAGGACATAACCTCCTGGGCCTGGCCCAAGAGTCAGTGCAGCAGCTGTGGTGTCAAGAGTTGGCTGCCAGAACCTTCAGTTGTACCTCCCTTTACTTTTCTACCCGCTGGGGGTTGCTCCAGGCTCTGGGCCAAGGGCCATGATTACACTGGGTGCTGTCTTAGTTCTGTCCCCTGTTGTTGTGACAAAATACTCTGACTAAAGCAACTTAAGGAATAAAGATGTCTGTGATGATTTGACTCACAACTTTAGGTCACAAAATCCCAAACTGCGGGGAGGTTGAGGTAGCAGGCATTGACTAGGCTAGTCACATTGACATGGCTAAGGTGATGCCATCTTTTCCTGTCTTTATTTTGTATCTGCCTAGACACCCTTAGCTTCTCCCACTACCATATGTCCAATAGCTACATCTGCCTTGGCAACACTTTTGGGACTGTCTGTGACCCTGGCCACAGTCCAGATGTATTAACCAGAATAACTGATATTTGAGCAAGCTAAAACATTAAAATAACTAAGAGGAAGTGTAAATCAGAAGTAGTTGTCATATGGTATCTGAAAAATACTCCTAAGCTCTGCAATTTGACACTCCACCCAACACTGGTCTAATTGTAGTTCTTTTGTCTTTAAAAATCCCTTACCCCTGAGCTTCAGTACCAAGAGACTGTGAGGCAAGAGCCTGCTCTTGGACGTGGGCTGATTGAATGACTTACATGCTTTTAATTGGCTTAATTAGCGTGATTGTCTGTCTTGCATGGGTCATTGTAACATCACTTCCACACTCCAGAGCAGAGAACAGTAAATGATTCACACCAGTGCTTGGCTGGCTCCAGCTCTCCCTTTCAGTCCAGGTCCCAGCCCAAGAAATACCATTGCTTCCATCCAGGTTCGTCTTCCCACTTTGATTAAACCAATTAAGAAAATCCCACCAGGTGATGGTGGCACACACCTCTAATCCTAGCACTTGGGAGGCAGAGGCAGGTGGATCTCTGTGAGTTCAAGGCCAGACTGGTCTACAGAGTGAGTTCTAGGACAGCCATGATTGTTTCACAGAGAAATCCTGTCTTGAAAAACAAAAGAAAAGGAAAGAAGGAAGGAAGGAAGGAAGGAAGGAAGGAAGGAAGGAAGGTAGGAAGAAAGGAAGGAAGGAAATCCCTCATAGGCTGACCAATTCCTAAACAAGTCCTCACCCAGACTCCCTCACAAGTGATTCTGATTGTGTCACTGTGACAAAACTAACCTTCACAGATACTTGCCCATCCTGGGGATGTCAAGAAAGGCTTCCTAGGGGTGGCTCTGAAAGGTGGTTCTGAGGAAGCAGAGCAAGGACACCCATGTGGAGGTTGTAGCAGGAGCCTAGGCCTAGAGTTGGGACACTGCACTGAATTCTGGGAAAGAGAAAAAAAAAAAGTGCTGCAGGCTGGGTGAGAAAGGACCAGGCTAACCCAGGTGCACACCCTTCACCTGGAGTAAGGCCTCTGCCTGATGTCTGGCTCTCAGCCAGAGTGCTGTGAAAGGACAGTTAGGGCACAGCCTGCCTAGTTGTTGCCTGAGTGGAGGTGCCCCTGCTTGTATGTTGAGAGAGGGGCTGGATTTGGGCTGGGTTATTTCTCCAGCCTTCTCCCCACATTCACCCTGCACCGTGGGAAGCCCTTCAGTTTGGGAGCTATGTCTCACATACCCTCTCTCTAGAGTGGCAGTGATCAAGAGTCACCTTCCCTCCCTCCCCTTGGCCAGTGTGAGCACTGAAAAGTCACTCTCTGACCCCAGAAGTGGGGAGTGTCTGTGGGTTTTCTGTAGTGAGAGGTATGACAATTCTTGTGACCCATAGCCACATGACACCTCCTACACACACACACACTCACATACTCACATGCATTCTGCATTCAAGATGTTCACATAGACACATGCTACCTTCTGCACACAGGCCCACATGCATGCACATCCTGTGCTCTCTACATTCAAGATGTTCCCCAGTTTGATTCCTAACTCTAGCCTTATTGTGCCCCCTGATTAGTCATCTAGAAGTGACCCACT